GACGGAAGGGCAAGAGGGGGGGTAATGTAAACCACCGAATTAAATTGGGGTCGCCTTATGTTTAGCATCTAGAAATAAGGTTAAAGGTTCGCGATTATATAGTAAAATCGCCCAAGGAAAATTTTTTATTAGAGTATTAAAGCTGGTTTCTTATACAGATTTTCGAGAAATAAACAAAGCGAACGTTTGTTTTTGAATTTTCCTGATCATGTTACCTTACATTTGATCTTGAAATCTGATTCGTAGTTTAGGTAGTTTAGGCAATATGCGGCACAGTTGCGCCACAAACCAGACACAAGGACTGTTTCAAGATTGGGGATTCTAATTTGGTTTTTTAAGGACCAATCCATCCTTAACATTTACAGAATCACTTAAAGAATATGCAGGAAATCACAAAATCCATAGATCGCTGATCCTTACATATTTTTCGAAGAATTATAAAACACTTCTACTAGAATTTCAAAGGAGACTGGATTATAATTTACGATTCGAATTTTATTTTGAATGTTATTTTGTTGTGCATATATTGTATTTAATATGGGTAATTATTTTTGAATTCAGACCAAAATGTTATTACGTCATATATAAAATTGGTCCGGGTTCAAAAATAATTACCCATATAACCACTAGACCTACTGTAATATATTCAATAGATCCTACTTAGTTGCTAAATCCCCCTTAAATTCTTAATTTGAAAATAAAAAATAACAGTTTTAATAATTTATAGCATTGATAAACTTGGTTTTAATTACAATCAATATAGACATATTATCACAAGGGAAACAGAAATTTAAATTTCCAAATCCAAACTATATAATAATGTCATGATTCAGGAGGTTTCGAGTGTATACCCGGAGGTGGTGTATTGTCAGGACCTCTAAGTGGCGGTGTAGTTCGTGGAGAAGAACGATTACCCTCAGTACCAGGGTTGTTATTATTACCACTAGGAGTGTTATAATTACGGCTTGAATCACTAGAGAAACTATCAGTGCTATCACTTCGATTTGAATCAGTACTCTTAATACTGTCAGAACTGTCGACTCTACCGTCAATTGAAAGATCATCATTTGGTTCTAGTCCAGTCATACTCACATCATCATCGATATTTTCACCGTTTAAATTCTGTTCTTCCTTTGTTGGTTTGGGCTGCTCCTCTTGATATTTAGGGCCAATTTCACCATATCTTTTTGCCATCCATTCATACCAGTCCTTTTCAGATCTGTTATGGAGAAATCCGACAACGATTACGGTCATATTATCACAACCAATACCACCAAGTTCACTATCGTTAGCTAAACAGCGTTCCATCAAATCTTCACAAGCTTTCCTGAGGTCTTTATGTTCGGAAAGATTTTTACGAATAAAGCTGACAACTTGTTGTGACGAAAGACAATCCCATATACCTTTTTAAGGTATAAAAAAAATATATATATTAATCTTATGTAATAAATTTTTTTATAAAATAAAATAAATTAAGAACAGAATTTTACCATCACATGCTAAGACTAAAAACTCTGTAGAATCAGTTTTAATTTCTTCATTTTTAACATCAGGATATGCTTAAATAAATAAAATAAAGTAAAATTAATAAAAATAGTAAATAAAAATAGTAAATAAAATAGTATGTAAATTATGTATAGATTTTCACCTGTTACGATTTGTTCATCGGCTTTGAATTTCGGATTTTGCTTAAATTCAAAGTCACCAAGAGCACGAGACAATGCCAAATTTCCTATAAGACACAAGAAAAAGAAAGAATGTGTTGATGACATCATGTGCATAAATATAATTATCCGAACGTAAACAGCCAACAAAAGTCTCTCATTATTATACGAGAGAAAGCAACCATGTCAATACTGAGAAGAAGCAAGAGACATAATAAATAGCATCGAATCATTTATCGAACATACTTACCATTGACTCGTCCAAATTCAACAAATCCACCGGCCTTTGAAATCCTGTCAGCTTCACCTAGAAACATACATTTAAAAAAATTTTTTTAATCATAATCATAATAGTAATAATAATAATCATAATAATAAAAATGTGATAAATAATAATAATAATAAAATTTGGAACTATATAATAATATTATAAAAAAAACGAGAGAGAGAGAGAGATAATTACCTTTGTTAACAGGTTTATGATCTTCTGACATTTGGACTGCTTCACCATCTACACTAAGAACAGCACGAGAATCTCCCGCGTTTCCCTAATGATTGATGAAAATTTGATTAAACAGAAACATCGGACTACTAGCCTGAAATGTAAACAACGTATCAGAAACTTACGACGTATATTTCATTATTTGGTGTTACAATAGCCATAACTGCCGTACATCCTGAGGGATCATTTGCAAATTGAGGATCTAATATTTTAAAGATGTTATGTTAAGAACATTAAAACATTAAGGACAAAGACGTTAAAGGAAGAGCAAAGATATTTTAAACTAATTGATACCATTCTTTAGATCATCATCTGTTCCCAAAAAACCATTCTGTATGGCCGCTTTAAGATCTTTATCAAAGTCTTTATCTCTTGCAATCCGAGCGTGAAGATTATTGCCACTATATTTAGCTACATTTTGTCCTATAATTTAAAAAAAATAGAGAGCAAATAATAAGATATTATTCCAATTACACCAGTCTGCAGTAAAAAAAAGAAAAAAAGGTTATTACGCAAACTGGTAGAACGGATAAAAATTTATAAAGAAATTTACCACCGTGGCCGTCGTAAACGCCAAAGTAACTATATCCCTTTTTATCAAGAAGTTTTAGTGTAGCAGTATGTGCGTCTTCCATACTAATACGCCAGCCTTGCATAGCAGAAGAAGCATATAGTATACGGTCGTCATGACCCGACACTGTATGTTTTTCTTTAACCGGCTCGGAAAGTGTCTGACCCATTATACAAGCCTGAAACGGTAAGTAACACGACTAGATTAAGATATTTTAAAGGTAAATTTAAAAACTATGTAGCAATCGTTGTGAAATCGTTAATGTCACTGGTTGGCCGTGTATTTGAAGTTCAGAATGAGAAATAAACCAATGACATTTTGTTTTTTTTTTTTTTTTCTTTTTTTTTCGTCCTCTCTTTTTTTTTTTTGTCTTGAGTGACGTTTAATATGACAAGAATATATAATAAATTCGACAAAAGAGCTTGTTTTCTTAATTATCATAAAGTTGAAAACACGTCAGCAACTCGTACCTTTTTTATGAAAAAATTTCAAAATAACTTTTCTTTAGCGAAGAATGAAATCCAAAGAATGTGCAACACAAAATTGTCTATTTGGTGATTTAATTGCCATGTTTAGTCGTACGAATAATCATATTTAACAAATACAACAATCATTTATTAAGAATTTATATATATATTAATGAGCAGATGATGAGTCATAATTCATTAAATCCTTACCTAAATACCAGGAATTTAAAAATGTACTATGATATTTTGTAAGCTCTATATATACTTTTTTTTTTTCGAATTTATAATTTATAAGTAACTCAAATAAAATAAATAATCACACAAATATTTGTAAGATTTAAAACATGACATGATCATCTCAATAATACTGTAATAGGTACGGAATTTACATATGATTAAGCATATGTATCTTTATTAATGCTTTATCTATTAATATTTACAATATAGCAATATAGAATGATAGATAACAGCATATAAAGATGTAGGTAGCAAAGGGAATCATAAAACTGGTGTTTAAATACCGAATGACACGGATTACAAGTTCTCCGATAAAAAAATGATTAACTGCTCATGGAAACTTTAGAAACTTCTATCGTTACAAAGAATTCTGAGAATGTTCGAATGATGGGGGTTTGTTTTTTTTTTGTTTCGATTTTGTGATACAAATTTGTTCCAGTGGTACAAGGATTTTTCCATCGAAGTTCGAATTATTACGTACCTACAATTACGTATGTACATACGTATTGATAATGTATGTACGTACGTACGTACGTGTCCAAATCTAAAAAACTCTTTTAGTGTTAGTTACTCAACGCCGTTATCTGTTTTCCGTCTTGTATTAATTTAATTTCATTACCAGTATATGACAATAATCTTAATAAAAAAGTCACCATTTGACGTAAAACTTATTTTCCACTTTTGGGGCACTAGATGATGTGCTAATTTTATGAAAATATGATGTCAATTTTCGGTAAGAACTTTATATACTGATTAACAATTATTCTTCGCTTTACTCCGGACATTGTGTGTTGTATACACGTGATGTCTCACAAACCCTAATTTGAGAAACGCATGCAAGCCACATGAACATCCGTATACTACAGTCATATGTTATGTTTATGTAGTGTATGTACGTACAAGTTTGAGGCCTAGTACGTCTTTAGAATTTGTCACATTAACATTTGCTTTATCATATTTACTTTATTATTTTTATTATTATTTGAATGTTATACTTGCCGTTAAAATTGGATTTGTTCAATTCAGACTGGAACGATTGGTTTTTTTTTTGGACCGGTCCGAACCGATTCCGACTAATGTAACAGTAAACAAAACTTAATTACTAAATCATATACATAATAGTTTTTGTTTTCTACGTATTGAATTTAAGAATATAATATAACAAAGCTATATACTATCTTATTTAATAACATTTATAAAATAATAGTTAAATCTTTATAAACAATACGTGTTTAAAAATTACTTATCTTAAAACTGTATCTACTGTATTTAGAAGTATATATTTATTAATTATACCGTATTACGTACGTATAACTTTGTAATGTTTTAAATTGTTCAATTGAATTTAGAAAAAATGTGTACATATGTTGTAAGTGGGAACGGGATTTAAGTGGTTTTGGAATTTCTTGGTTAAATTATTTCAGGGTGAAGTTTATCTTATATAAACTCTATATCCTAACCCAAAATTATAAAAAATTCCAAATTCACTTAAATTTTATTTTCAACTTACAACATATACATGTGTACTTTGCGGTTTTTCGATAAGTCTATTATCATTTCTCAATTTGATAAATTAATTTATTAGTTATTATTATAGTATATAATTTTTTTAAAAAAATAAATTAAAATTTTTATTACAATATTTTTTATTTTATTTTTTTTATTTTTTTAATCTTTAACCATCTTGTTAATAGTTTTTTTTTTTTTTTTTTTTTTAACATGGCAGCCTCGCCGGTATCTTTATTAGATCAAAGCATATGCATAAAATACAATTAAACTATCTAAGTTACAGATCTGATATCACTCGGCTGCCCCTAAAGGTACCCAAATGCGGTCTGCCTCACCAGTTAAGGCTATTGCCCATACCAGAGGGTTATACCAAGTTAGCTTAGGAAACCATCACAAGACAGTTTCAAAATGAACGAATTTTTCACTATATTAAATTGGCAATTTCCTTTTTTTAAACTATCCATCTTTTCTAAACAAAGTTCTAAATCTAATTTTCTAAGAATAAACCAAGTGATTTTCTCTTTTAACACAGAGTTATTGCCAAAATTCTTTCATTCGTGTTTATAATTTTTTTTCCTTTTCCTTTTCTTCCAATTTAATCTATCCTTTCTAATTTGAGATCTGGGTCTTGGAAGTCTTCTCTTATTCTTTCCTATAATTTTCTCTTCCTGGTTTATAGCTTTATACTTTCTTTCTTCTTCTTCTTGTGAGCTTGTTCTAGTAGTTTCTACTAGGAATAACCTTCTATATGTTCTTTTTTTCTTCAGGTACCTTAAGTTTTCTTTCAGTTTCTTTGTTTTGAGATCTTGGTTAGTTTGTTCAAGTTTTCTTCTTTCTGTATTCTGGGTATAAGAGTCTTCTTTTCTTCTTTTCTTGGTCTTTCTATTTTTTTTTTTTCTTCTGAAACTTGGTCTTCTTTCTAAAAATCTTTCTTGTATTTCATTAAAGATCTTTCGATTTTTGAGATGTTTTACAAAGATCTTTTTCAGTATTCCCAATAATGTATTCTTTTTTTTTTTTTTGCAATTTTTTACACCTCTCAGCCTAGGTATTACTATGCTTTGCATTAAATTTATATTCAAGTTCTATTGAGACTTCTGTTCATGTATCCATTTTACTAGAAGATCTTTTTTTATCTTTTTCTGTTAATCATTCTTCTGGAGTTGCTAATACAATTTTTGGTCTTGATTCCTTTTGAATCTTATTTAATGCTTAGCCTTTGTGAGTCCAGGAATATCTTGACCATTGTCTTTGTTCTGCTTTTTTTTTCTAATCTTTCTTCTTTTTCTTTTCTGGTATGCTAGAGCAAATTTAGCAGATACTTTAAAATATATTAATAAAGTCCTTAAGTCTAAATTATTATTCTGCTTTTGTCAGATTTTTTTTTGTTCTTGA